GCAACATCTCGCCAGACAACCAGTTTGTCTCAGTTTGCGCTGCCAGGGAACGCTCACCCATGGCTACGACTCAAAACGCCACGAACTTGCCCCTGTTYATGCTACCAGGCAACGTACCCTTGAAGCTTCTTCACGCCGCACACGTACACACACATACAACAGACGCTCCTACTCCCACACTCGGCCATTCTGAAAATGATATCTGGCCTCAGATATTCGTTTTTTTAAAAACCAACACAAATGCTTACGCTATACAAACTGTCAACGAAATTACACATATTACAAGCGACAACGCTGCGTTACATTCAATTTAAGTTATGAAAACTTCACACTCTTATTTGCTTCACATCTTAAGCTCTCACACACGTTTACATTTTAAATTCATTCAATCGCTTTTGTCTCGCAACACCACTGTACAAAGTTTTAACGCAATAACACAATACTACTAATAATATAAAAAGTCAAATATGTTTAATCTTATGAACTAGTCATACAAAATTTATGCCACAATACAAACATTATAAAAAGTCAAATATGCTTAATCTTAAATCTTATGAACTAATCATACAAAATTTATGCCTCAATACAAACATTTCCAATTCAAACTTGTCTCTAAAAAAAACAAAAACAATCACTAAATTATTATCGTTAAACTCTTAAACCGTTAAACCAGAGGTTGCCTCTCCCCTCTCGCTGCTGTCCCCCCCTAAAATTTCCTTTAGACAAACTCTTCGGAAGATCCCTTATCGTCAACCCACACTTTCATGTTCTCAGCTAACGTACTAGTCTCCCTCGGCCCCTCACTTCCTYCCACYTTTTGAACTACGTAACGATCATTCCGCAAAGTTTTAMCTATTTTATACRGCCCGAAATATTTTGTTGCTAATTTTGTMCCTGGTCCCTGCTGGGTTCTTTTTATTGCGACCAGATCCCYGTTCGCATAAATTCTAGCGTTCTTCCTATTTCTGTTRAAACTTTTCCTATTTTCCCGCTGTATTCTATCGATACTCTCCTTYGCCTGCCTTCTTAACTCACACCGATTCTCGTCGAACAACGCAACCCACTCGTTCTCCAAAAGCTCCTTCAAAGGCAAATCTCCCTGCAATCTCATCTCTACCCCAAACATGAGCTTAAAGGGAGTCATACCTGTACTCCTGTTCGGTGTCGCGTTTAAAAATCTTTGGCATCGATCAAGATGYTTGTACCAGTCTCCAGGATGTGGAGCTGCTAGTTTCGTTAGAACCGGTATTAGAACTCTGTTAACCCTCTCTACCTGCCCATTACTCCGCGGCATCCCTGTCGTAATGGTTATATGCTCTATCCCCTCTTCCCTACAATAGGACTGGAAATCGTTGGCTGTGAATGCCGTGCCACGATCAGATATTATCCGACGGGGATTTCCGAAAACCACTGATTGCTTACTAAGTTTAAGTATGACCTCGGCACATGTAGTGCTTCTGGTGGCGTACAGCCACACGTACTTCGCGAACGCATCCACCACCACCAGGATGTGCTTATAGCTCTTTTTTGGTGGAGACCAACGGTCCCAAGTGGTCGATATGGTATGTATCTAGAGGAGTTTCCCCTTTCTCTATCGGATGCAAAAACCCCTCCCCTTTTCCACTCTTTCGCTCCGCCAGAATGCAACTAATGCAATTCCCAATTACTTTTTCCACTCTAGCTCTCATATCTGCGAACCAATAGTCCCGCCTTATTAAAGACTCCGTTTTCCCGGCCGCAAAATGCCCAATTTCATGAGCTTTCCGGATTACGCTATTCTRCATCGAGGGAGGCACAACTAATTTATAATCGTCGTCTATAGCTTTAAACAAAAGACCCCCTCGCACACAATAACCGTCAACTGGTCCAACCCGAACTGATTCCAACAATTTAYTGAYACTCTCATCCGCCGCTTGCGCTTTTCTCAAACGCGCACTAACACTATCCCCATCCTCTCCTATCACCATACATTCGGGYAGTGGACAACGACTCAGCGCSTCCACATGCCTCATGCTAATCCCCGATCGGTGTTCGATCGTATAATCAAACTCCTCAAGYAACAATGCCCACCTCGCTACGCGAACACATAAATCTTTTTTCCTCATGGTCAAAGCAAACGCACGACAGTCAGTTACAATCTTAAAAGGTATACCGAGTAAATACACTCGAAACCTGCRAAGCGACTTAATTATAGCCAAACACTCTAGCTCATAACTAGCATATTTTTCCTCCGGACGAGCGGACTCGTCTTTCCGCTCGCATAGTACACAGGGTGTAAAACACCATCATCACTCCCCCGTTGCAGCAGTATGCTYCCGAACCCGAACTTTGACGCATCAGTATGGAGTTCCGTTTCCGCCCCTACCCTATATAACCTCAAAACTGGCTTATCCGTCAGAATCTCCTTTAGTCTTTTAACCGCCTGCACATGCTCAYCATCAAACCGAAACTCTTGGTTGCCTTTGAGTAAGCTCGTGAGTGGCCTGGCGATCAACGAATAATGGTCAACAAATTTCCTAAAATAACCCGTAAGACCCAAAAAACTTTGGACTTCCCTTACGGTTGTTGGCATTCGAAATTTAAGCACTGCATCGGTCTTGTGATCGGATGGCCGTATTGTATGATTTTCGATCACATGCCCCAGAAACTCTACTCTATTTTTCAACAACTGACATTTCTTCCAGTTGATCACCAGGCCAGCCTCGCTTGCAACCTTCAAAACCAGCTCTAAATTTTGAATGCCGGATTCCACGTCCAACGTTGGGATTATTACATCGTCTAGATATGTTAGTATTATTTTCTCGTTGATTAATTCTCTAAAAACTGTATTCACGAATTTCTGAAAAACCGCCGGTGAATTACATAAGCCAAAAGGTACCTTTAAAAATTCATACTGTCCATCCGGCACAATGAATGATGTATATTTTCGACTCTCGGGTCTTATCGCGACGTGGAAAAATCCATTCTTTAGGTCGATCGTGCTGTACACATTCGCCCCCTGCAACGCATCCAATTGATCATCTATCAACGGCAACGGATACCGGTCTTTAACTATCTTTTTGTTAAGCTGCCTATAATCTACGCACAATCSTGTTGAACCGTCCTTTTTCCGCACTAAGACAACCGGGCTTGCGTAATCCGAAAGTGACCGCTGTGCAATACCGTCGCGTAACCATTCTTGTATATGTTTATTCACCTCGTCACGCTCTGCCATTGACAGACGCCTTGCTCGCTGGTAAACAGGTTTTTCGTCTGTWAAAATGATCGTCATCTCCACCCCCACCTCCCGTTTTTTCTCCGGCCTATAGTTTTCTACCAACGAAATCACATTTTCTTTAACTTCAGATGCTTTTAAGTGAGTTAAATCCACCYGTCCCTCCGAATCACAAACGTCTATATTGAATACGTYTGGCAGCTCGTTTTCCGTTGTCWGTACTTTGCCCGAACGCCGGATCTCTATGTGCCYGGACTCTATTAACAATTTAACGTTGTCGAGGAAATTTGTTCCTAAGATGAGGTCATGRCGCATACACGARTTAGGAACTAAGTGTATYTTGGTTTCATACTCTTCCCYGTCTACCCCGATAGCAGCTGTAAAATGACCCAGTGTCCTARTTAACTCCGAACCYAAACCTCTGAAAAAGACCCMTTCGTTTTCYACTCGCGGCGCTCCTATTTCAGCGAAAGCGCTTTCTCTTATTAGTGTAATTTCACTGCCTGTATCCACCAACGCAGAAATCTTAACATTATTTAACGTTACAGTTTTCTTTAAAGATTTCTTGACCGCTGTTGAACCTTCATCGACCCGAACAACCGTCACCGATGGCGCCTTTTTGGGACATCCGGCTGAGATATGACCGAAATCTTGGCAGTTAAAACACTTCATACCTCTCTCCCTCGATGGGCAAAATGCCGCTCTGTGTCCCCTCACTCCGCAGTTATGACAACCTTCATGGACCCACCGTTGGTCAGCTGATCCTCGTTGCTTCTCCTCACTCGTTCCCATTGGCCTTCGCCCTGCTGCCCACTTCTCCCTTCTTTCCAGTTCTCTCTGTCCACGGTTCATTCCGGACCCAGTTGGCAACTGCACCTTCTCAAACGAAGTGAAGAGTTCAGATTTATTTCGGAAACCCCTGATTCTCGCTGTGTTCTGCAAAACCAAGTCTGGAATTCCCTCGATCAGGTGTTCAATAAGCTCCTCTTCACCAACAGATACACGATTCCCCAGGATCACTTTGTCATGATAATATTCACTAAAACGCTCACTRCGCTTCCACTGCCGCTGCAGAAACTCTCTTTTCCTGTCCGCCAAAGAAGGGAGGTGACGAAACATTTTCCTTGTTTCGTCAAGCMAGTCCTCATTCGACATATCTGAATACTCCGCCTTTGAGTGGAACCACTCCGCCGCTTTCCCTTTTAATCTCAATCTAAATAGCACCGTCGCTTCTCCGTCCGATAGACGATGTATCCTTTTCGAGGCAAGACCGTTCCCAGTGGTCATAAGGTGACTCGCCGTCGTGTAAGATTCGTGAAAAAAAACTGGACCGCTGGACTGAATAAACCGGGACTCGAGCCACGGATCTTTCGCTTTCCGGGCGACTGC